TGTAAGAGTAGTAACAGCAGCAATAACAAATACGACATGAGCAACACTATGTTTCTCCTCACAAAACCTTAATTGCTGTTGACAGAAACAAAAGCTCAAGGAGACAACATTTTCACATGATGAAACCTATCTGAAAGTTTCTTTCACCAGTTATATTCTCTTGTATTTCACCACAAGGATAACAAGTTTAATGGCCATACCCAGAACTTGGAATAAGAAACTAGTACTCCTGGCTCTCATTCCCAAGAGGACATAACAGTTAGGATGCCACAATCTAAAACACTTCCTAAGAACAAATACGTAGACAGTATTCTAGTAAGACTTCCAACAAAAAAGCTCAGTAATTGAATTGCAAATTCCTGCCAAGTATGTAAAAAAACCCTGTAATAATTCACTGACCCATAAAGCAAGTTATCTTTTCAGGTACAGATAAAAATAACGCTGCTTTCCCTAGTCTGCATATAACCTCAGTGCCTCGGCAGATGCCGTAACTTTCAGAAGTGCCTACTCAGGCAAAGCTGGCCCAGACGTCACTTAATTAATAGTATTCAGAGTACTTAGGAGAGCAGTGAAGGCAATATGAACTTACAAGGCCTGAAACAAAGGCAGGCACAGCAGTATCGGAGAGCGCAGTGGCAAAGCAGGAGGGAAGGGCAACAGCAGTGGTACCAAGCAGCAGCTGGAGGGCCGGGGAAGCGGAAAGTATTGCAGGAACCAAAGTGTTCTGGGACACGGGGAATATTGTCTTTTCCCTCCCAGGAGCCAAACTACAGCTGTAAAGGGCCCCTGCATATGCACAGGCCAGTCTCATGAAAGGTTTTAGGAAAGTGTAAATTTCTTTATTTATGCTTTATTGACAGGGACAGGCAGGGGTGTGTGGGGCATGTAACAAGCACAAGGGTCTTAGTAAGGAGTCACCCTGCGTTTCACTCACAATCCCCTGCAACCTCTGGCTGGTTGTGAAGATCAGAAACAACCAAAACATACAGAGAAGAAAATTAAATGACAAGCAACAGATGGGGATCTCCACCATGTACCTATGATTCAGCATGAACATCCCTAACATCCCACAACTAACTTGCACCAGTTAAAGATTGTATTCTGCTTGTATAACAAGAAATCCAGGTTGCTGTTCTGACCTGAGGCAGCAGTACAGTTTCACAAAGCCCCCGTCCTGTTTCATGGATTCTAAAACCCAAGCTAGACACCACAATTTCAAAAATAAATACCACTACACTTCTTGCTAATTTAAAAAAAAAATTACCTCCCCAATTCTGCTAGCAATATTGGCAAGTCCTCTGGAGTACAGACAAGCCTTAAGGTTCTCACATGCAGTAAATTCAGTTTACCAGTATAACACAATCAAATCCCACATAGAATTGGCTTTGCAAATTAAAACCAGCAAGCATGGCTCTGCACCACAGTTTCCTGCTTTCTACATCTTCCTCTGCTATCAGCAAAATCTAACTGTCTCAGATGCTGTCACACTTACAAACAGTCTTACACTGCAGAGCATAGTTAGACAAGGAATTTGTTAAAATAAGACCACAAAAAAATCAAAAGCTTCCCATCTGTCTCCTAATGGCATTTAAAAAAAACCCTAATATACTACACATAATCCACATTTACTTTATTTTCTGGTTATAAAAGTAAGGATTTTAGATTTCAAGTTGAAGTTTTCAAGCTAGAAACATATCAAAAACCAACTTTATACCACACAAATGAACAACACTGCAGTCACACCTGCTACATCCCCTTTTTCAACTGCATAACTGAGGAGTAGAACAGATAACCAGACACAGTACGTAATTCCCCACTCATACTTCTATTTCTCTACCTGAAAAATTGAAAGAAAACAGAAAAAGACGACAACAAGATACACGTTTCATACATTTGTTATGATAAATTCAGCAGCAGTATCTCTAACAAAAGTAGATATCTACAAAGGCTGAGAGAGGTAAATTAGATCTTAAAGAGGGACCAAAGAATTTTCTTATCTTTAGACAAACTTCTCCCACAAAATCTTCCAAGTGACATTAGCTGCAGACTAAGAGGCAGGGAAAACAGAAAGAGAAAAGAAATTTCAAATACCTTTTCTGTTACACCTTGCATATTGAATTGCAGAGCATAAGAACAGTATGAATCTGTGTTTTTTCGTGTCTGTATGTATAAAAATATAAAAAATTCAGAGCAGTTGTTTTGCAGATTCAAGAACAGGAAGTACCTCTGATACAACTTCACAGTGAAAGTCCCCTGAAAAAAATAATTGCACATGTGCTGCATACATATAATCACTACCTCCCCTTTCCTCTTTCTTTCTCACATCTGTCTTCAGACAACTCCTCTTCAATGGTCTCCTAATTTGCATTTATTCCGTGAAATTTAAAACCATTTTTTCTACAGGCAACTCCAAAAGTCTTTTCCACATTCACAACCTAGTATTCCCTCGAAATTTTTTTTTTATTATTTTCTTAAGTAACACTTCATATTAATGTCTTTTCATAAACATTCCAGTATATTCCATTTCTCTAATTTTTCCATTTCTGATTTGTACATCTTTTCCTCCAAACTCTTTTATCTTCAAACTGCACTTCCAGAATCTATGCACAAACGCTAACAGAGACCACTCAGGCCTCTTTACTGTGTTCATTCAGTGGTTTTGATTCAGCCCAAACATTCAATTTTTGCAAAACTCAACAGTTTCTTTGGAATGTCATCATGAATTTACTCAAAAGAAAATCAAATCACAGGAAGGAAAAGCTCTTTTCCATAAGAAATTATTCCCTCCACTTGAAGGTAGAATGCAAAGCACCTCAAGAATTTCATTAGTGATTTTCACCTCCCGAGTAACTTTCTTAAGTAACTACTCTTACAACCAATTCTGATAAGCAATGGGAATTTGGAGTTGCATTCAACTCCACCACTTATCTGTAGCATCATTTTTTGCCTGCCTCCCAGTTACCTTGCTGACACAACAGAATAGCAATGGGGCATGAATTGATTGCTGGTGAGCTCAACTCTGCATGCCCTTGTTAAAAAATTTTCCATAACTGAAAGAGAAAGTTTACAATTACTTATAATCTTAGTGGACAGAATGATTATGCTCAACAAGCTTTCTCCTGGGACTGCTGTTACATTTTATATAGCTCTCTGGATACAAGGAGATTTACACAAGAAAAACTGAAGAAAAATAAAGGGTTTCACTCAAGATGTTCACTAACTGTATTTTTAGAAAGTTTGTATCCTCCACTCCACATTACCTAATTTAGAGAGGGAATGCTCAACTACGAAAAACATATTCACTTTGCGTTCAAGTTGAAGATGAGGAAGAATTTAATGTGGTTTTTAGTTCTTTAGAAAACAGCCCTGGATGTTGATCTTAAAGAAAAAAAAAAGGGGAGGGGGGCAGGGGGGCAAAGACCAGGTAGGGATGTTTTACAAGAACACAAAATCCAAACCATTTATTGTTGGTTTAGAACTTTCTACTGAGAAAAAGCTATTTATATTTCAATTATGTGACAGGATGTCACAGTTTGAAGTCATTTGGGAAAGAAGAGGCCTTAAAAATTAGGTACTAAGTGGAAGAACTTGCAAACTTTCATACTTAGATTATGATATATTCATAACAGAAATTCATAGGCCGCATTTATTTAGAACACTAAATCCAACACCTCTTAAAATCAGCAGCAGATTTCAAACATCAGCCAGGAGAAAGCTTAGAGGAAGTCTGCTTTTGCCCCACAGAACTTCACAGTTCATCAGAGTTCAAGCAGAAAAATATTATCAATACACAAGTCCCAAAATAGTTTCTTCCCCCCACCCCAATGTACAGATTTTCAGAGGTTAACAAGAAACAGGGTATCCATTTTCCTCCTCCACTCCCTTTCATCTCGTTGAGGCTGTTACTTCCTCCTAATCATTGCCGCCTGACATACACAGAGCTGATCTTTCTTCTCGGCAATGACAAGAACGAGGATTAGGACGTGAGTACGTTTGCCCCCACAGGAACACCTGAGGCTCCCGCATCCCCTCCCGCTACAGGCTTGCTAAGTTTGCCAATGAATGACTTCCCCAAATTACCTCAACATGTGCAGCATTATTGATGCAAAATGAAATTACTTCATTATGTGCATACGTCTAAATGAACAACAGGCTCCCACAGTTTGAAAAAGAAAAAAAAAAAAAAAAGCTACTTAATACCCTTGGAAAGGGAAAAAATCACGAAGATCATCTGAAGCTGTAGTAACAGATTAACATAAAACCTATTTATTTAATTTATTGTAGTTCTTGCTCTCTTTTCCACAGCGGAAAATCAAGTTTATGGAGGTTTATAGAAACTAACAGCTTAGGTCTGCAATGACAACTCAAGGAGGCCCAGAGGTACTAAAAGTCTCATATGTGCAGACATATGCACGCACACACAGGTGCCCAGTAAAAAAGATATATATTTCTAAAACTTTGATTGGCTTTCCTAAAACCAGTATTACTGCAAGTTACTTGGTACATTACATGAAATACAAAGTAATGATTTTTTTGTTTTGTTATTTTTAAGTTTTTATAGGCAACCGTTTGGAAAAATCCACTTGAATTATTCTCAACTAGTTTACCCAGGAGTAAGTATTCACAATAAGCTTCTATAAAACCTAAGAAAGCACTCTGGAGAAGAAGTAGCAGTTACAGAGAAGAGAAAATATTGCAAATGCCATGACATGTAAGTTGTTATAGAATAATCACTTCTTTCCCAGACCACACAGTCAAACATAATCACTGAAAGGCAGAGAAATGTATGTGTAGCTAGTTTTATTTTCAAGATATCAAAACTACATTGTTTTTGCAAAGAAACTAATCTTTTCTTTGTAACATAGCCTCAGTAGAACATTGTATTGCAATACATTATGGTTTTGGATATGATTATGATATAAAGGCTGATATTTAGCCTCAACAGCACAGTACACAAAACATATACACACAACACAAGAACAGTTCCACTTTGTACTCACTCTTACAAAGTTGTCAGGGAACAAACCTCTTCTGCCTTTGAGCTGTCCTTCCCACCAGCCTCCATCATCTTTCTTGATATTGGTGATTATGTCACCTACAGTGATCGTCAGCTCATCATCATGTTGAGCTTTGTAGTCAAACTCCACTATCGCCTCCACTAAAAGACAAACACACATATGCACAGTTATTGACTACATTTAAGTCTCCATGCCTTTGAAAGGAATAAGAAAACAGCAATCCAATTATATATTTTCAGTGAAAGTAATATATACAGCTTAACCAAGAGAGCATATCAAATCAGCAACACGTAATGGTAACAGTTTGTGGGAAACTACCAGGAGAGAGGGCAAAGGAAAAAAAAAAAAAAAAAAAAAGAAAACCCACAGGAATGCCCATCATGGTTGGGGCAACAAATGGCATCCATTTTTCTTTACTGATTAAAGGAAATCAATTTGTGATGCTTCAGCAGTATCTACTCCAGCAGCATTACAAAGTTTATTTTTATTTCTTGGACAACATTTAACTTTTGTTCATAGGACTTCTAAGGTACTTTATTTCTGGAAAGGTTCTCAAATTCATAAGCATCCCAAGCCACTGCACCTACTTTGCTAAATAAATCACTATTAACCTAAAGAGTATTTAACAAGTATTTTTGCATCACGCTGAGTTTCACTGCTGTTTATACAGAAATGCAAAGCTTTGCTGCATGAACATGTTCTCGCGGGGTTTCACCAAAGGAAGAAAAATTTACTTTCACTTGAGATTATGCATCAGAGGATCTGAAGATAAAACACTCCTACTGCTCTGAATGTCTGTTATCAGGCAGAGGTGCATTATAAGCTTGCTACCATTATATGGTGTATCTTTGTCTTTACCTGGGAGGACTCCCCATCCCTTGAAACCATACACGCAACAAAGTCTCTGTAGAGAATTAAGGAAGTCATAAAGATTGAAAAATTCTTGGAGAATCAAAAATAATAGACCTGGGGTATTCAAATATGGAAGCCATAGTTATATTTAGTGCTTCATCAAATATCTACTAGGAGAAGCCAGATTGGCAATGTCAAGGATAGCCATATTTGTAAAGCCTTACTCCTGTTTTCTTCAGTGGAAAATCATGTCCCAGGATGTTTCACCAAACACTTAGCACTTCAACCATCGAAACAACAAAACGGGAACTAGTAATAGGCATCTGCTTTCTGCAGAAATGACGGTGCTATGTAAAACCTGCAAGATGCGGCCTGCAAACAGGCAATACAGCTCACAGAGCAAAGCTAACCATTACACCACAAACAGCAAAAAGGTTCTGCCTAAATAACAAGCCCTGCAAACTAAATCGAATTAAGCTGACAGGAAAGCAGAGTTATTCCTCTCCACCCCCAAAATGCCACACAGTCACAATGCTGAACATCTCCCTCCCTCCCCCAGAGCGTGCAAGTCATAGCTAACAGGGTGTTCTGACTTTCAGATACATCCCAGACAGAAGGCTATGGCTGATAATATTCATCTATTGCTTCTTCTTTGAAGCCCAAAACCATTATAAAACTAGATCACGAGAGGCCTGCTAAACTACATAATGAAAAGCAAGAGAAAGAGTGGCCCCACAGATTACAAGCTGATGTGCAAACAGAACTTGAAACATTTACCTCTGGAAGTTAACTGAAAAATCAGACTCATTCAGGCCAGGAGGACCTCAGGTCTCTAGCTTAGCTTCCTGTTCAAAGCAGGACCAGCTCTGAGGTCAAACCAGGTTGCTCAGGGCTTTGCCCACATGGGTCTTCAAAACCTCCAAGGACAGAGGTAGGGCACGCAGGGGAACCTGCTCCACTGCTTGACTGGGAAAAAAGTTTTCTATCATCCATTGGAACCTTTCTTGTTTTGATTTACACCCATTGGTCTTCTCCCACCATGCACTGCTGTAAAGAGCCTGACTACATCTTCTTGATAACCTCCTTGTAGGTATTGTAAGGCTGCTGTTAGGACCTCCCATTTTCTCTTCCCCAACCTAGACAATCAGAGTTCCTCTAGCCTCAGGTCCCCCCACTCTTTAGCACGTGAACTGTTCTACCAATTTGTACTAAACACAGACTTGAGGAAGAGTGCACTCCACTGCTCTCTCCAGTAATTGATAAAGATGTTAAACAGAAGAGATCCCAGGACAGCCCCTGGTGCTACTCCATTTACTATCAGCTTGCAAGTAGAGCACAACCACTACCCAAATCACACAACATTTGAGGTCAGAAGGCACCTCTATAGACCAAACCCCCTTATTCAAAGCAGAGATACATAAAGCACAGATTGCTCAGGGCCTTATACAGCAGATTATTAATATCACAAAGGATGGAAATTCCAGTGTTTTATCACCCTTGAGATTAAGAAGGTTTTCTTATGTTTAAATGGATTTTCCTGGATTTCAGTTTGCGCCTGTTGCCTCTCCTCCTTGCACTGTCTACTGCCAAGAGGAGCCTGGCTCTGCTTTCTTTACTCCACCACAGCACGTATTCAGACACATTGATAACACCACCCCGAGCCTTCTCTTCTCCAGCCTAAACAGTCCCATCTCGCTCAGACTCTCCTCAGGTGTCACATACCCCAATCCCTCAGCCGTCTTCATGGCCCTTCACTGGACTTGCTCCAGTATCTCCATCTCTCACTCGTATGGGAGAACCCAGAACCGGACACAGCGCTCCACATGCGCCTCACCAGAAAGGAGAAGAGGAGAAGGATCACCTCTCTCCACCTGCCTCCTGCCAACCCTCCGCCTAACACAGCCCGCCAAGCTAGGAGCTGCCTTTGCCGCAAGCACACGTAGCTGCCTCAGGGTCTACTTGGTGTCCACCAGGATCCCTGGGGTCCTTCTCGCCAAAGCTGCTTGCCAGCCACTCAACCAGGGGTTATTCCTCTCCAGGTGCAGGACTTGGCATTTCTCTGTGTTCATGAAGATCCTGTCAGCCCACTTCTCCAGACTGCTGAGGCCTCTCTGAATGGCAGCACGACCCTCTAGCGTGTCAAATACTCTTCCACTTTTGCATCACCTGCCAACCTGCTGAGCGTCCACTCTGCCCTGTCATCCAGGTCGTTAGTAAGGAGGCCGAGCAGCATCAGCCCCATCATTCGCCCCTGCGGCACATTGCCAGCAACCAGCCTTCAGCTGGACTTCATGCTGCCAATCACAACCCTTTGAGCCTGGCGCTTCAGCCACTTCTCAATCCACCTCATTGTCTATTTACCTTCATCAGTTTGTCAGTGAGGATGACATGGCAGACAGCATCAAAAGCTTTGCTGAAGTCAACATAAACAGCGTCCACTGCCCTCCCCTCCTCCACCAAGTCAGCCATCTCATTGCAGAAGGCTAACAGACTGGTCAGACATGACTGCCCCTTCATAAATCCATGCTGACTACTCCCAACCAGCTGCTTGTCCTTCATATGTTTGGAAATGGCTTCCAGGATTATTAGTTCCATCACCTTCCAAGGGGTCAACATGAGGCTGACCAGCCTGTAGTTCTCAGCAAAAAGAAGGCTTCTTGCTCTCCCTGAAGACCGGAGTTACATTTGCTTTCTTCCAGTCTTAAGGAAACTCTCCCAATCACAATGACCTTTCAAAGACTGTCAAGAGTGGCCTCTGAATATCAGTTACCTCCCTCAGCCCATACCTCAACAGGGCCATGGCGTTGCACATGTCCAGTTTATTTAAATATTCCCTAACCTGATTCTCCTCCACTGAGGGTAGGTTTGCCTTGCCCTGGACTTTCCTACTGGTTTCAGGGGCCTGGGATGGCTGAAGGCCAGTATTACTATTAAAGACTGAGGTGAGTAAAGCATTAAGTACTTCTGTGACAGGCCCTCATTCCCATTCAGCAGGAGGCCCACACTTTTCCTAGTCTTCCTCTTGCTGCTCAGGCACCCATAAAAACCTTTCTTGTTGCCTTTCACATCTGTACTGATTTCGGCTGGGATAAAGGTAATTTTCTTCATAGCAGCTTGCATAGTGCTATGTTTTGTATTTGTGACCAAAACAGTGTTGATAACACCCAGATGTTTTAGCTGTTGCTGAAGGGTGCTTACACAGCCTCAAGGTCTTTGCTGTTTGTCACGGTGCCCCAACAGCAAGTAGGCTGGGGGTGCATGAGAAGCTGGAGCGGACACAGCTGGGAATGCTGACCCCAACTGACCCAAAGGATATTCCAGACCATATGATGTCATGCTCAGCGTATAAAGCTGGGGGAGGAAGAGGGTACATTTGGAGTTATGGTGTTTGTCTTCCCAAGTCACCGATACGTTTGATGAAGCCCTGCTTTCCCGGAGACGGCTGAACACCTGCCTGCTAATGGAAAGTAGAGAATTAATTTCTTATTTTGCTTTGGTTGCACGTGCAGCATTTGCTTTGCCTGTTAAACTGTCTATCTCAAGCCACAAGTTTTCTCACTTTTACCCTTTCAATTCTCTTCTCCATCCCTCTGTGGGGGAGTGAGCAATCAGCTGTGTGCGGCTGAGCTGCCCACTGGGGTTAACCCACAACATCCCTCACCACATTCAACTCCAGGTGGGCTTTGGCTTTCCTAACCCCATCCCTGCACACACAGACATTCTCTCTACCTTTTTCCCAGGTCAATTCTCCCTGCTGTCACCTCCTGTACTCTTTACAGTTTTTGTCAGGAGCTCCTTCTTCATTCATGAAGGCATCCTACCACCTCTGCTGGTTTTCCTGCTTGTCAGATGGACCTTGTCAGATTGAGCTTGGAGAAGGTGATCTCTGAAAACCAACCAGCTCACCTGGATCCCTCTTTTCTCCACAACTGTCTCCAGTGGGATTCTTCCAAGCAGAGCCCTGAACAGGCCAAAGTCTTCCCTCTTCAAGTCCAGGGTTGCAATCCTGCCTTTTTTTATTTGCCAACCCAGCCCACTGCTTCCTCATAAGATTGTTGGTCATCCTCTCCCTCCCCCATCATTACTATTTCCAAGCTCTCCTCACCTTGTTCGCCAGCCTGTTAGCAAAGATACTTTTGCCCTACTTAGGCAGATCCCATCTTTTCTAAGCAATCCTCAAAGACGGTCTCATGGTAATAAAACTAAAACTCTGCTGCTGACACCAGCTATGCAACCAGCTGTTACCCACAGGATCTGTCCACTCACCCTCACACCCTTCCCTCTCACC